GGGGGGGGGGGGAAGGCAAATCTGCAGCAGGGCAACTCCTCTTACCTTTCCCTCCGCCATGGCAGCATGGAACTTATTTCTGTGCTTTTTAAGCACTAAACCAGAGCAGGTGGGTGTGCTAATGAGGGTGTGGTGCCTTTTTTTTTTTTTATTAGGAAAAAAAAAAAGGGGGGGGCCAAGGGAGAACAGAGGTGATTTTTTGGGGCAAATTACCACCTGATGAGGCTAAAAACGTACGACATAGAGAGGGAGCGGCTGTCCACCCACTGCCAGCTGCCTTCCGTGTGCATGTCGGTCAGGCCCAGCCAGAACACCCGGTTGTCCATGATGTGATTTGCCAGAAATTTCTGCAAATAGCGGGGAAAAAAAAAAAAAAAAAAGCATCACGAGGGGAAGTGGAAGGCGACAGCAAAGGGATTCAGTGGCGCCAAGGGCAGCGCTGGCCATCGGGGAGCCTGTCCCTCGCAGAGGACAACTGTGGCGTGTCACAAGTGTGACAAAAATTGCAACATTTCCCACCAGAAATGAAAAAAAGTGCTGAAATTTCTAATACCTGGAGAAAGAAGCTTTTTTCAGACTCCATGTGCTTTTGTCGGTGAAAACGCCCTCCTGAATGGGAGGTGGGGATCGTCTAAATTGGGTTAGGAGTGCGAACTTGTGCATAGTTCGGGTTATATTTCTGTAATTCATTCTATAATTTCTGTAATTTTTTTCTTTAAAAAATCTGTAATTCCTAAAAAACTTCTGTAATTTCTAGAAAAATAAAAAATCTGTAATTCCAAAAACTGTAATTTCTACAAACATCTGTAATTCCTAAAAAACTTCTGTAATTCCTAAAAACCTGCTGTAATTTCTAAAAAAAAAAATCTGTAATCGCTAAAAAATTCCGTAATCTCTAAATAACTGTTGTAATTCCTAAAAATCTTCTGTAATTTCTAAAAAAAATAAATCTGTAATCTCTAAAAAGCTTCTGTAATTTTTTAAAAAATATCTGTAATTCCTAAAAAATTTCTGTAATCTCTAAATAACTCTTGTCATTCCTAAAAAACTTCTGTAATTTCTAAAAAATCTGTAATTCCTAAAAAACTTCTGTAATTTCTAAAAAAAAAAAAACCTGTAACCTCTAAAAAACTTCTGTAATTTTTTAAAAAAAATCTGTAATTCCTAAAAATCTTCTGTAATCTCTAAATAACTGCTATAATTTCTAAAAAAATCTGTAATTTCTAAAAAAGAATCTGTAATCTCTAAAAAATTTCTGTAATTTCTAAAAAAAAATCAGTAATTCCTAAAAAACTTCTGCAATCTCTAAATAACTGCCGTAACATCTAAAAAGCTTCTGTAATCGCTAAATAACTTCTGTAATATCTGAAAAAAAAAATCTGTAATCTCTAAATAACTGTAATTCCATCATTCCTAAATGATCGTGAGGAGGCATCGCCGTGGAGCCATGGCACATCCACCCCAAACTCAGGTGAGCGCCTCTCGTAGCCCAGGATTCCCTCGGGGTCACACGGACCCCGGAGGAGCAGTGGCTCCCCCCAGTTTTTCCCCCAAAAACCATTAAATCCCGTCAACCATTTTGGGGACAGATTCACACGATTTGGCCAAATCACATCAGAACCTCAACTGGCTGCATTTTCCCCCCTCTGCAGGCAGTCGAGTCTCCCATGCTTAACCTTCAGCGTTCCATTTGCGGAACTGGAGCCTAATATTCCTCTAAACTCGTGAAACCTGTTTTTTTTCCTGCGTTTTACAGGATTTCTCATCTTACATTTTCCTGCTCGCTGTTGACAACGGCCAGATGGGCGTTGTAGTTGGCGCAGAATTCTTTAGCATCCCGCCAGGTTTTGGTGTCGGAGGAGAAGTAGTAGCAGGTTTTGGCAAACTGCTCCCAGCCGGCGGGACACTTCAAGCAGAGAATATCTGAGGGAAAACAGTGAAAAATAAAAAGGAGAGCGTGCGTTGAGCTCAGGGGGACGCCCGCGGGCTCAGCCTGGCCGTTTCCCCTCACCTGAGAGGCCTCGCATCTGCTCCAGCGCCGTGTTCAGGAGCGCGGACGCGCGGCTCTGCGCCTGCTTCACCTCCGCCAGCTGCTGCTGCACCGGCCCCAACACGTCCCTTTGCTCTGCCGGGGAGAGAACAAAAAATAATTCAGCTGCCGCAAAGACCTAAAAAAAAACCACACCCCACCCGGTTTTGTCTCCCTTCCCCTTTTCCTCTCCATCCCAGTTTACACCGTTGGCTTTCGCGGGGTGATTTCCTGGTGCGGGTTACCGTTTATATGAAAATTCAGGTTGTAAAACCTCAAAGCCCTTTCGCTTAAATGAGGTTTTTAATTGTGTTTATCAACACGCCGAGCAAAGCCTTTTCTCTTTAATACTGTACCCATCGATATCTCAAGCTCATTAAGATTGGCCACACGCGGTGCACATTTTAGGGATCGTCGGAGAGCATCTACCCGGTACCGTGTGTTTTGAAATCGAGGAGAAGGACGGAAATTTAATGATTTCCCATCAAAATCAGGCTCTCACCCAGGGTGCGGAGGCGATCCGACAGCTCCTTCCCGCACTCCGCTTTGCACTGTGTCACCTTCCGCTGCACGTTCTCCACTTCTTGTGATACTAGAAGGAGGAAAAACTCTGCTTTTGACCCTGTCTCACTGCTGCCCGCACTCAGTATTCAGAACTCTGCCCGAATTTCCCCCTAAACCGCCTTTTCCTTGGCGTACCATTCAGAAGTTGGCTGCGAATTCCCTTGATCCCACCAGAGAGCTGTTTATCTGAGAGGAAAATAAGAAGAGAAAGCTCAGAACAAGCCCTGACCATCTCTGTTCTGATGGGAAGCGTCTTTAGTTCATTGTTTTGGTGGAAAAAGCGCCCCGGGAAGTGCTGGGGGGGG